ATTTCGAAAATTAATTCAATCAAATGCAAAAATATATTGATAATCATGGAGAATACTTCAAGAAAATTAATAAAACATTTACACTGATTACCCACTGTGTTTCCATTGTTAGGCGAAATATTAGGAAACAGCCCTCGTATTCCCTCTCAACCAGCGAAATATTGGTTTGTGGATCACTTCTCGCATTTTTATTCTCTCTATCATGAGCTGCTAGTTGTGAGAGCTTGAACTTCTATTCTATTCTAGTCTATTTTAGCCAGTACTACCGACGTAACAACCTACTAGAAGTAGACCCATAGTCTTATCTATTCATTAAGTAATTGAGACTTTCCCGTCAACTATTAAGGTTTGTGATATTAAGCAGCTTTTTCATTGCTAACGTAACCGAACTGCTAAAAATATCGATGAACTAAGCTGTAAACGAAAATCGAGAGCAATTTATAAAATCACCTTCCCAAAACCTAGGAGTTACATCTAAAGTTTTTTTATAATGGTTGGCTTAACAGGGCACGTAAAATTAAGTTGACACAAGAACATGAACATGAATGTCTACTTATTTATTGGGTCGAAAGTTTGCAGTACTTCACTACTTCAGAGAGTCTTCTTCAGTGTTGTAATTCATCTCTGGTTAAATGGTTTTATAAGTGAATAATGTTGTTATATTTGGAGTGAAGAAAACTCATAAGTTGTGCATGAAGTATGGTTACATCCACAAAAATGAAGAATTTAGAGTGAAGTTTATGACGTAAGCAAGAAAATACATTGAAGGCATCGGCTTGTAACTATAGCAAAGGTTATAGGCCACTGATGGTGACAGAGTTTCAGTCTTGGAGTTTTAGTTTTGGAATTCCAGTCTTGGAGTTTCAGTTTTGGAATTCCAGTCTTGGAGTTCCAGTCTTGGAATTCTAGTCTTGGAATTCCAGTCTTGGAGTTCCAGTCTTCGAATTCCACTCTTGGAATTCCAGTCTTGGAGCTCCAGTTTGTTGAGTTCAATTAGTCTTGAACTGGAAGTATAGATCCATATAAAGATAAGATTGATAGAGTAACATATCTAATTGGATCGTACTATGCTATTCTTTAAAAATGAAGATAGTGTTGTAGTGATCATCACAATAAAATGTTATATGTTATATGTAGCATTCAAATTAGTATATATGATTACTGAGTTTTTTTTTTGTGATGTGTATAAGATGCTTTCCATTCGACAATATGTGATTTCAACAAGTGACTCATTTCTTGGCAATCAATTTATGGAAAGTAAATTTCAAAGTAGAACTACATAGGTCCTATTTGATCACCTTTTCTTTACTATTTTCTTATAAAAAGTTTTAATTGAGTACTAAAGTATATTTGGCGTATATTTAACATATTTTTTAGTAAGAAGCACTACTCTACTATAAAGTTATATTTATATATAATAGTATATTCAATAAATATGTTTTAAACTAATATGCGTTCATATGCAGACTTTCAAATCCGAACTATTTTTCCTTTGAATGTGAGTTTTTGAAGAAGTATGTAGTCAATAACTAAAATTCACAAAATTTTGCATTATGTGACTGCAGTTCTCAATATAATTATTGATATATTTAATGTGGTAAATTTGATACAACTCAAATATATTTACAGTTGGCAAACAAATTTTGAAAGTTTTTATTTAAATTATAACCACAAACTAAGAATAAACAAGCTCGTACTCATACCCGTACCCGTACTCGTACTCTTACTGTACTCTTACTGGTATTTGCCTACAACATAAATAAGTTGCCAGTAAATTCATGCGAGCGCAAAGGACTGCAGTAAACTTACTGCAAACTATCGAATGGTTTTGTTGCCGCAGAAACTTTTATGCAAAGTTAAACAGACAAAAATAATGCAGGGAAAATTCTTGAGCAGGAAATCGGAGATGTAGTTAAGTGCAGTTACGAAAATGCATTAAGGGATGCTATCAGTAATTTGATAATTTAAATATCCTTTTCTTTAGGTAAAAGAGCTGCTAAAAGCAATGCGACTTACTGTGAAATTTTATTTTTATATATTGTTCATTTTTTTTTTGTTTTGTGTTTTGTTTGTGGTCTATATGGTAGTTATTTAAAGTATCTATTTAAATAGTTATATAGAAAAAAAGGATAGAATTTATTTTTGATAGAAATTTCGGTTAGAGTTTTTTGTAATATAAGGACAAGAAGTAAAATCACTTAAAACAATGAAATAATTTTATAAATTTTAAAGTCTTTACTTTGTGGTTTGGATATTTAAGTATCTGCTTATATCCATTGCAACATTGTAAGTATATTGATTATAGATAATACACTATATCTTTTAGCTTCACTTTATATTTGGATTAATAATAGGTGTAAAAAAAAGAAATCAATTGTTGATGCATAAAATTGAAGGCTCATTTATAATAGTTAGAATGATCTGATTTTGTTCAAATATGCGCCATTTTGTTTGATAATTTGTAATTTCATTTTGTCTCTCTCATAAAAGTCTTTTTCTCTATCGGAAAAATTGAGACAGAAAAATCATCCATCGCTCACCATGGAAAAAACACAAGAACAGATTGAGTATCATCTGCCTTTGTGCCAGGTCTGGACTATTAGTTGCATGCATAAGAACTTCCCAAGCAAACTCCCGGAGCTTTTGGCAAGTTAGTATCGACGTGTGTTTGGCTTGATATTATCCTAATGGAACACAATTCTGCTCTGTTATTGCCTAAAACTGACAGTTTCTAGACCAGTCTTTCAGACGACCCAATTACAGTTAAACAGTACAGTTCCGAGTTAAGAGTTTTGTCATTGGTGGATGAGGAGCAGCTTATAGTAAGTGATTCCCTGCCAATTCCACCAAACACACAACAAAACCACAGCTCACTGGTTGTCAATCCTGGCTTGGTCACCATTTCAGCCGCTTCACTATGATTCGACCACGACCACGACGGTTGACATTGTCATAAGTGATCAATTTTTCAGTGGTGATTATCAATCAGATATGGGTTGATTTTGTTGTGAGTCAGCACCAATTCGCAGATGGAAATTCTGTTCACGGTTTTTTTTTGTATTAACTTGGTGACACCCACACATCGAACTTTTCTTTTTCTGTATCCAGTCTTATATTGTAATGGTTTTAAATGATTTATCAATCTTTAGCTCTTGGGCAATCGAAACAGTGCTTATATGACGGTCAAGACGGTCGGACTCAACAATTTCCATGATTTTATCGATATTTGCGACAATTGACCTTCTAGTGAGTGGTGCGTAATGCATCTTTGATATCGAAACTATCGAAGCGGAATCGATGATGCGCACGATTTGCGTATCAGGAGTGTACCAGAAACATTATTCACAATTTCAGCCGCTTGGCTTGTGTTATAGACTCCATTAAATAAAAACTGTAAAATACGTTGCATAATTACTATGAAGAGTTAGTTATAGACTCTGTAACCAGAATCGCGAAAGTTGTGTTTATAGAAGATATGGTCGGAACAACTGAATGTAAGGGATACTCTTGGTTTAAAAACTTACCAGTTAAGATAAGTGTTGACGTTGAATAAATTAATTCTGCTAGTCATTTTTGACAAGATTTTTAGTTAATACTCTGAACAATATAAGGCGGTGACGAAAAATACTATTACTTTTAAATTCAAACCTTTGTTATTAAGTCTAGTGTTTGAGGAATTGTTGAATTCAAAATTAGTCACAACTCAACTTGAAGTAATCTTTTTGTTCCTTATATTTATTATATGGTATATTGAAATAATTTTAAATGTCAAATTGACATTTGACATATGTTACTACGATTATATTAAAACTATATATAGAGTTGACCATTTCAGGTGGATCTATTTGGCAATATTGTTACTTTGACAAGGACTCACCTTCCTTGACTAGTGAAAGCTGATTTTTGAATTGTCAGTCTAGGACAATTTTTGGGTTAGTGGCCATTATGGGTGATGAAGCCGATTTCATTTTAAATGGAACTGTAAAGAAACAAAAATGTCAGCTCTACGCCGTTGAAAAATTTCAAATTATTAAAAAAGCATCCTTTTATTGCCAAAATGTGACAATATAGTGCGACCGTATATATCGGACCATACTTTTTCAAACACATTAGTGGCAAGCAACAACCGTTAATCAGATGCGTTATCGGGCTAAGATAACCTATTTTTTGATACCAATTGTACGTGAAAATGGTTGGCAGCACTAAAAGTTCTGCCACCACTAACCAGTTCGTGGCACAAATAATTTTTTTAAGCATTTGTTCCCCACTTGCTTGGTATCAAAAAATGGGAATTTGCTTAGTCTCTACATTTCTCTCATTTGACACCGCCAAAATTTTTTCTCTTACTTGATTACTTGAAGATAATAATTTATGTTAACAAGTCAAAGATGCTAGATATACTAACGGTCAACATTCGCCGGGAAATAGCCGCCATAGCGGTCAAAACATTGGCAAATACTATCGACAATGCCAAAAAAACGGGCACTATAAGCTGTTTGAGCTTAGTATGGCCACTTAGGCTATACAAGTTTTGGTAACGATGTAATCAAATCTTCTAATTATATAACTTACTCAAATTATAACTCAAATTATATAACTTATAATTTTTAACTTGAACTGAAGAAAGTTCAGCCAATACAGCAACCCTGTACTTTACGAATAGTCGTAATAGGTACATTGAAAACGATCTGCTGAATACAATAAGGAATCGTGATGCAAAATATTATTAGAGTAATATTAATCCTAAAGTTGTGATGATTATCCAATAGAAAACTCTTAATAAACGGTTAAATTATGAAAAGCCTCAGTCATAATATAACTCAGTCATAATATAATAATTACAAAAAAAACAAAAACTATATAGAGATTTGGTTCCTGACAATGGTCA